AATAAAAATAATATCTATAGTTAAAAACATAAGAACCACAATAATAATAAAAAAACAAACAACAACAACAATTATAATAGTAATTATAATAACAATAATAATCGAAATTATAAGTCACTTGTTTTCATAAACTCAATAGCTAAATATACATATGAGTTAGTTACAAACAGTTGACTGAAAAAACGTAACAATTAACAAGAATATAATAAAGTTATTTAAATTAAAAATAATAAAATAGGAATAATAATAGTAAAGTTAAAAGTAATAATAATTGTAGTTATGATAAATACTTAAAATTAAAAGTAATAATACTATAACAAAAAACATAACAAAAACATGATAAAAATTAAAGATAAAATAAAGAAAAACAAAAAAGCATTAAAAAAATGAGAAAGTTCAATATTGTTACACGTATACACAAACATAAATATAAAGATATATATACATACTTACCCACATGCATAGATGCACACATATTTTTACATAAATACACACGTGCGCGTACATACACTCATACATATGTATACATACACATATAGATACATATACATATATAATTTTAAAAATATACATTTTACATACAGCTTTAAAAATATACATTTTAAAAAAATGTCCAATCAACACAAAACTAAAATAAATGCATACTGATGCAAACAACGCACTAAAACATATAACGCACTATAGACTGCAACAACAACAATATCAACAGCAACAACAACAACAACAACAACAACAACAACAACAACAACAACAGCAACAACAACAACAACAACAACAATAACAACAACAACAACAACAACAACAACAACAACAACAACAACAACATCAACAACAATAACAACAACAACAACAACAACAACAACAAAAGCAAACATCAAAATAAAATTTAAAATTTTTTTTAATTTTTTTGCTTCTTCAAAAACGGAGCAATTTTTATATTTTATTTTAATTCTTTTTAATTACTTTCTATTTTCAAATGTTTTTTACTTTTAACTTTGTTTTTTTGTCTTTTCTTTTTCGTTTCATGTTTCTTTTTATGTTTTTTTTGTTTTGTTAATTTGTTTGATTTGGTTTTTAATTTTTCATTTCTTTCTTTTTCTTTTCTTCATTCTCTTTGTTTTTATTTCACTTATTTTTTTTATTGTATTCATTATTTTTTATCTTTCTTTCTTGTTTTTTGTTTTTGTTTTTAATTTATTGTTTTTAAATTATTCGTTATTAAAAAGCGTACGCCATTGCGGAAGTGTCTGAACTGCATATTACGATATAACAGCATATATATTTTTAGATTCTGCAATATCTGCTGCTTAAAATAATGCAACTTTTAAAAAATCGGTTTTTTCAAATCTTTTTTATTAGTCTACTACCTTAACTCCGGACCACGTAAATTGGCAAACAAGGCCGCTGTGCGGAAAAACAAGTTGAACTACTTTTTAGTAAAAGTTTAAAAAAGGCCCAGATTTATTCATGAGGTAAACAATTTCAACGGTGGCAACTGTAACTTTATTCGGATATTAGTTTCACTATTCACTAATTCACTAGTTTAATATAATATTTTTATTACTAATATATAATTTATAGTTTAATCTATATATATATATATATATATATATATATATATATATATATATATATATATATATATATATATATATATATATATATATATATATATATATATATATATATATATATATATATATATATATATATGTATATATAATTATATATATATATTTTTTATACATGAAAACAAAAAACTTATTTTTAAACTCAATTTTGATTTAATTAAATAGAAACTAGTATGTTACACTATGCAATTCTAATAAGTAGAAATTCTAATGAAAGTTTTTTCTTGTTTTTATAGCTGCAAATTGGTCCATAATACTCTTTAAATTTAATTGAGCAGCTATTTTAGCTACAGTAGCTATCAGGTTATAGTACAGACAAAATGCTTTGCGCAATTGTTGTCTTTAAATGTGCTTAAGCATCTTTTTTGCAGTTGCTACGCTAATGGGTAATGTCAAATATACATAAGCGTTGGTATTATATTTTTAATTCAGCAGCTTATGTCATAATATGTTATTGTGGACACGGGTAAAATGCGGAAATTTTAAATCAGTAAAATAAGGGAAAAAAGTGCTAAAAAATTCTCTTAACCCTAAACTTATCGCTGCCCCAACCAAAAGACTTAGTCAATAATAGTAGATTCAATTTTCACAGTCTTTCGCAGTATTAAAGATGTCTCATTCTGAAAGCCTATTTTGCTGCTTTGCGTTAAATAGATTCAACCAAGGTTTTATCAGTTTTTAAATAAGAAGCCCAAAAAGACACTGTATATTTATGGTGTGGTCTTTTAAACACTTTATATAACTTGAGAGCCACATTTTCATCAATGAAAGTGAATGTCTTTTTGCATACCAAATACTTATGCGTTTTGAGACAACTTTTCACAAATGTGTGCTCCACTAAGCGTTACATAAAATAATGACTCCTAAAT